CTCTCTCTCTCTCTCTCTCTCTCTCTCTCTCTCTCTCTCTCTCTCTCTTCCTACTAACTTATCTCAACCCTTCACCACATACCCCCACCCCCTCTTATCCACAGCATCTCATCCATTCCATCATCTTCCTCATCTCACCTTCTCCATCTCATCCGCATCCCCCTTGTTTATCTCACCTCCTAACCACCTCCCTCTTCTTTATCTCCCTCTCTCTCCCTCCACCCTACAGGACCGGCCCTCCGCCCTTACTATGAGAGACCTGCTGACCTGTGCCATGGACGTTGCTAAGGGCTGTGAGTACCTGGAGGAGAACCACTTCATCCACAGGGACATCGCGGCGAGGAACTGTCTCCTGACAACGAAGGGACCGGGAAGAGTGGTCAAGATCGCGGACTTTGGCATGGCCAGGGATATCTACAGGTGAGTTGGGAGGGGGTGGGGGTGAGGAGTGGGGAGAGGGGGGAGGGGAGGGAGGGGGAAGGGGAGGGGAAGGTGAGGGGGAAGGGGGAAGGGAAAACGGAGGGGGAGGAGGGGAGGAGACGGGAAGAGTGGTCAAGATCGCGGACTTTGGCATGGCCAGGGACATCTACAGGTGAGTTGAGAGGGGGTGAGGAGGGGGGGGGGAGGGGAGGGGATGGGAAAGGAGACGGGAAAAGGGAAAGGGAGGGGGGAAGGGGAGGGGAGGGGGAAGGGGAGGGGAGGAGACTGGAAGAGGGAAAGGGAGGGGGGAAGGGGAGGGGAGGAGGGGAGGAGACGGGAAGAGGGAAAGGGAGGGGGGAAGGGGAAGGGAGGGGGAGGAGGGGAGGAGACGGGAAAAGGGAAAGGGAGGGGGGGTGGAGTTAAAGATTAAAGAGATGAATGATTAAAAAATATATATATATCTACTGGAGAGTTGGGGTGAGGAGGGAGGAGAGGGGGAGGGGGGGAAGTTAAAGATTATACAGTTGAAAGATTGAAAAATATCTACAGGTGGGTTGGGATGAGGAGGGGGAGGGGAGGGGGAGGGGGGAGTTAAAGATTACACAGTTGAATGATTGAAAAAAATATACATCTACAGGTGAGTTGGGGGGAGGAGGGGGGGAGGGGGAGAGGGAGACGGGGAGGAGGAAGAGAAAGGGGAAGGGGGAGAGGGTGAAAATTATAGGTGATTTAACTGAATTAATGAAAATTTAAAAAACTACAGGCGAGTGGGGTGATGAGTGGGAGGGGGAGGGGGGGAGTTAAATATTAAACAATTGGAGGAATGAAAAAAGGTAAATAGATAAATAGATAAATTAACAGATCAACAGATGTATTTATAGACAAACAGATATATAAATGACATTCTTTAAAGATTCATAAAATAATATATAAGTAGAATAAGAAGCATTATTATGGTCATTCAAAAATATATAATTTAAGTAAAAAAGATATAAGAAATAAAATCAAACAATATCCTTAAAAGCGACTGATAACAAAGAGAAAAGAATCTTAAACATTCTTAAAAAGAAAATATGTATTTTGAAAGTGTACCCGTCTTAAAACATGGAAAAAGTCTAGAGAAAAAAAGGAAAAAAATACATAGGTGTTTCAGTCTAAAAAAAAAAAAAAAAAAAAAAAAAAAAAAATCTCATAAAAAAAGAGCAGAAAAAAAACTGCATGGGTGTCGTAGGCTAAAAGTTTTGAAAAAAGTTAAGTTTTATATGGGTTACGCAATCCACCTGGTAAACTGGCCTTAAAGCGAAAGGGAAAGAGAGAGAGAGAGACAGAGAGAGAGAGAGAGAGAGAGAGAGACAGAGAGAGAGAGAGAGAGAGAGAGAGAGAGAGAGAGAGAGAGAGAGAGAGAGAGAGAGAGAGAGAGAGAGAGAGAGAGATGAAGACAAATAGACAGAGAGAGAGACATCAAGATTGAAAGACAATGCAAAGATAGAGAAAATGATAGACAGAGAGAGAGAAAGAGACATAGATAGACAGTAACAGACACAGAAACAGACAGACAGAAAGCGAAAGAGAGAGAGAGATGAATATATGACTAAAGCCTGAGAACCAAGGAGGGGGGGGGGGGTGAGGGCCATAAAGTTGGGTGTAAAGTGAGGGCGAAAATGCACGAGCTCCCCGGCAGGACTCAGAATAAGTTGAAGAATTATGCGAAAAGCTTTTTTTAGGGGCGTATTTTGCATGTACTCGGAGTAGGATGAAATAGATAGATAGATTGAGAGATAGATAGATAGATAGAGAGAAAGAGAGAAAGGCGAAGAGAGAAGCAGACAGCCAGATGCAAAGAGAGAGAGAGAGAGAGAGAGACAGGCAGAGACAGATAGATAGATACAGAGAAAGAGAGAGAGAGAGAGAGAGAGTTTCAAGATAGGTAGATAGGTAGAGAGAGAAAAAAAATACAAGAGACATAATTAGATAGACAGATACAGACATATATATATAGAGAGAGAGGTAGATTGACAGAGAGAAAGAGAACGAGAGAACGAAAGATAAAGGGAGAGCGAAAGAGAAAGAGAGAGCGAAA